GGTATTGTCATGAACGACAAAGGAGGGGGGGGGGGCTCTTTTGTTTCCACTCCGCCCTGCATGAACAATGCAGCAAGCACGGTGCCCAGCTTAGCACAAAAGCCCAAGTGGGTCAAGCTCGCATCCTCTGACGACTGCTTTCGGGAGAGATTTGGCACTTAACGTCACTTCACTAATTGTTGGTATTTTTATATTACACTGTGCCCCGCGTTCTATTAAAAGTTGACATGGACATGCCCACAAGGCCTGTGGGCATGCGCACAGGCCTTGTATTGGTTAAACACCGAGGTATGGGGGCAACAAACGGGTCTGAGCGCCTCGCCAATAGCGACATCGCTAAATATCACGTCCTGGGGCGCACTTTAGACGCATCGTTTAACTCCAATCCATATTCACTATAAAGGTGAGTTCACTATAAACGAACTTGAGATACAGGTATGAGTGACTGGATAACAAAAAGAAGCCGCATAATAGCCACGGCAGTGGTCGCACCTTTTTCTATTAGGTTGCGTTCAGAAAGGCACTCAACGTTAGAGGACATTTTGTTGCATTTTGAGAGGTCATTCAGCTCGTAGTTCGCTTCCTGTCCTGTTCTCTGCTTATCAATGTTCGCTGACAGACAGCTCGCAAGAACAATAGGTGACGGACTAACAACACAAAGAAATGAAACAAAAGAAAATCTCGACGTTTCGCCCATAGCGGGGTCAAATATACAAAAAGCAAAATAAAAATGTCTCTTTTTGTCTGTCCAATTCTCATTTTCTTTCATTTTTTATTTTTTCGACACTCAAGTCTGCATTGTTGCCGTAAATCGTTTCCCATGTGCGTTGCGCCTCAGGGTGGCAATCTTTACTTCCGTAAAACCACCCCTTTTGTTTGAGGATTTTTTGGGGGAATATTTAGGAAACAAGAGGCGCCTTTGAGAAGGCGAGGGGAAAACCTTCATTGTACGAACTTTGGGTCATAAGTCACAATCGGCAAAAAAAAAAAAAAAAAGATGTTTTCACAGATTCAGTCAGTCACCGTAAACAGAATTCGGTTGCTGGAAAGAACGTTCACGTTTGCTAGTGCCACACCCATGCCACTTTATACCGAAAAACTCGAAAAATGGCAGAATGTCAAAAATGTGTTTGAGATAATGAGTGCAAGATACTCAGAAATGTAATTAAAATGGACTATTAAATACTCTCAAGTAAAAGTATTTGCAAGATACCAAGATACTTCAGAAAGTATTTGAAATACAGTATCTTGAGTAGAGTATTTGAGATAAACGCAAGTCTGGCTTTTCACCTTAAGCCCAGATGCAGCCGACACTACATCAGGCAGCGTCAAGAGTGCACCATATCATGGTGTTCGTCGTGTTTCTGCGCGCGTTCTATCATCGTTGCTGAACCAATCATAAAACAGGAAAGGTCTAATCGTTTTTGACGCTGCCTGATCGGTCCAATAAGCCCGTAGCATCGGCGACATACGCTGTATCCGGTTCCACGAATACAACCGGTTGGAGTGAGGAAAACGCGAGTAATCGCACGTAACACAGCTCGGTGAATCTAAAGCGGAGACAAAGGAAGCCCAACAGCTATGGCAGGGAACAGCTTCCCAGATAGGCTATAACCACTGACTGGACGGAGAACGACAGGCAGGTCCCTCGGTTGTCCCGCCCCCGGAGCGAGTTCCCCACCTTCCATGACGCCGCAGCATCTCGCGAGCTTCCAGCGTTCACGCGCATCCAAAGCGCGGTGAAAGGCAAAGGAGCGCGTGCTGAAGGCCGGCCACTCAAAGGCCTGCCGTTCTCATTCTGGCAGTGATCGCACAATATTCAACAAACTTTTATTTTGTACAAATACCGTAAAAAGATTTTGTTTTAGAGGGCTCAATATCTCGCCCTTTTTGTCCAGTGTGGGTTTCGAGAAAATTCCCCGTGCACAAAATTTTGCAATTGGGAGTGGTACGCCTTCGGTACACGGAGTGACGAACTCGCGTGATCAATTTTACCCAATATTTTATGAATAAAAAAATTCGCGAAAATTAGGTCCCCCAGAAAAGGGCCATATATAGCCATTCCGTTTCTTTCCCAAATTTCTCAAATCTTAGGGAAGGCTCGCGCGAGGGGTAATTTTCCCGTCTGGAGATGGCGACACCCTAACATCCTTCCAACTGCCTCTCTCCGCATCCTCCCTAACTCTCCCCCTCTTCCCCGCACACTTTCTTTGACCCAGTTCCAGCCTCCTTCCCACCCTCATTTTCAACCGTTCTCCGCAGAGCGTAGCGCGCTCGCTTCTTAAGCGACGACGGCACGGCACGCTCGTCTCCCCGTCCCCCCCAACCGACGACCCGTCAAAATCCGAAATCCCGGCTCAGTCATCATCTTAGCAGCGAGCTCTCCAACATCCAGCCGTATAAAGCCAGCCCGCTCGGAGCAGCTATATACTCCCCCGTTTCACTTCTTGATGGCCTAGCGGACCCCATGACAGCCGTAAGGGGCCAGTCCAATACGGCGTGGGTGTCACATGACATTCCGGGGGGAGGGAGACGTAGCGAGAGCCAAGGAATCACGTGATACGTACAAAGCGCTGGATTGGCTAGAATGGCCCATAACGTGCGCCGTCGTTCATCGCAGAGCTGAAACGGAGTATGTCTGCTTCTTCGCAGATCTCTCTTCCTCTTACTTGGCAATCTTACGAAGATGACACTGTTGAAGTGGGAAGAAAGTGGGGGAAGAAATAGAGAAGAGAGTAAAAACTTCCTCTCTCTCCCTCTCTCTCTTTTCCGTATTTCTCCCTCTCTTACTCTAGAAGAAGTAAGCGAGCGAGCTGGAAGAATCGTGGATATGTGGAAATGGAGGTCATAAATACGCCGCACACCAGAACGGCTACGAAGTGGCGTGCCCGGAAAGGCAGAAGCGGCCGTCGGCAATCGTTCCCCGTTGCATCACGATGCAGAGCGCATTCAAACTAAGCGTGAAACGATTAGAAACAAAAAAAGAACAAAAATATACGGAGGAAAAAGGGTAAAACATGGCGAAGTCGTAGCGGCCTGAAATGATGCGTGACAAATCAGAAGTGCTAAAAAGACGGGAACGGTTGAGCCAGACTTCGAACCTTCCCCCCTCCTCCTATTCCACGCGAACCCGAAGAGAACAAAAGAATATATTCTGGCAACAAGAAAACACAAAAAAAAACTCACGAACAAAAAGTGATAGGGAACGCGGAGTTCAAATCGATACGCCTACTGCCGAGAAAGACGATCAGGCGCGTGAACTTCTGTAAATAACAATTTAATCGTAAAAAAAAATAACAAAAAAATTCGCGACTTTGTTTGCACCGCTACTAGTTCATATCTACGACTTCACGTAAAAAAAAAATGGTGCTGACTGCAAAAAAAAAAAAAAAAGGGGGGGGGGGGGGGGGGGGAGCCATCATCAAAAAAGAAAATCCTGAGTACATGTTAACTGTTATTCGATCCTGTGGACAAACTCGCTTATTCAAGAATACTCAGTCGATGAAGAGTAAAATAGAAGTACCGATGCTGTGACATTTCCTTTGGTCGGGCACAAGCAGGAAGAAAAATCTTAACTATATTAACGAAACTAAAAATGCTCACCCGGAACAAAATATGCGTCCGAGAAGTTGCAATTTAATAATGAAGCTGTCATTGTGATACGTGCTGCCACAAGACGGCCGGCACGCAGATTCCTTACTGCTGTTCCTTAGAAGAAAAAAAAAGGAATTTCAATCTGAACTTTAATAACCGGCAGGCTCTATGTCTAGCATCTTTTCAACTCCCGGTATAGAACGAAAAACCGTAAAGAGAACCAGCCGCCACTAAGAACGCTTTATATACGAGGCTGCATTGCAATCAGAAATAGACCTATCTGACGCTGCGTGCTTCCACTTCAATTATGATTTTCATAACAGTCATTATCGTGACAAATAGCTTAACGCCTGTAACAATCATTTTTCTTTTTCATTGCAACAACGAGACCAATTTCCCCATAAAGACCAATGTACTCAACTCGGCCCCGTCGACAACGGCAAGCTGGCTTCCCCACCCAGCCGCGGAGCACTGCGGGCAAGACGGCGCGACGGCGCGCGCTACCGTCGGATGGTGGAACGTTTCCTACATAACAAGGCCGTAGCGACGAATTGTCCACGTCCTTCAAAAGAAGGCCAACTTAGCGCACACAGGGGGCATGACCGTTACGACAACGTTCCTCGATCGCGTGTACCGATCGTGAGGTTCGCTTAGAACGGACAGTTTTGGCGAGGCGGGTCTCGACGATCCTCATGACACGATACACAGGCGTAGTATACTGTATATTTGAATATTTATTTTGACAGAGCAATCGACAAAAACCCCAAACACGCCGATGGCGTTATTATGCAGTTCTTGATAATATTGTTACCGCAGGCGCGCGCTGAAAATCATGGTTCAAACGTGCAGCGCTAGATTCTAGTCGCAATGCCCAACTGTAAGGTAGCTTGCGGCTAAGCTATGCTAAAACGGTCTAATCCCGTGTCCCAATGCACTAGAATCGCGACGGTGTGCAGTGAGCTGCGAGTCTCCGACACAGGGACGTGAATACTGCGAACTCTGCTCTACCGGAGCCTGCACTGGTTGCCAGGCACAGCGCAAACACTACGCCATTTTCACCACCCAGAAAAATCTCTCGCTACACCTTAAGAATGTGAGTGGCGCCCAAAACACGCTCGCCTTCCACAATGCGTCACAAATCCCGTGCTGTATCCGCAACTTCTAAGAAACAAAATGCTGGTTTTCCTAACGTACGTCAACATCTCCGTTACCTGCGATGTGCTCCTGCCTTGCCCGTTTCGGATTCGTAGCCAAATAAATTAATTTAAGCCCACTGACCAGCGTCTGCGAGCGGGTAACTTGCAAAACCTATCCCCGTGTCTTCCGCCATTATAGAACTACTCTAATATAAAGGGCGCTGGAGCTGGGAATCGGAGCGGGGAGGAAAAGGGCAGGGCGGCGCTCACCTCGGCTGGTGCCGGTGGCCTTGTCCCGGAGCACGTTGATCTGGTACACGGGTCCGAAGTCCTCGAACATCTTCTTCAGGTCGTTCTCGTCCCAGGAGCGTGGGATCTGACCCACGAACATCTTGATCGCGTCGGGGTCAGGCTGCTCTTTGCCCGGCGAATTCATCGTTCTGCAAAGAGGTCACGGCACGGCACGTTTGTTAAATGGAGCGCTTCCCAAACTCTGCCAGTGCCCTGTGATCCACCCAAAACATAAGATTACATCACAACCCGCCATTCCCTGGCTTTTCGCGATGCCGCAGGCCCTTCGATTTCAGTGCGTAAACAAAATGAACGCGGAAATTTTATCGAACAGGTAAGTTACTTATTCGTTCGAGTACCTACAACGCAATGAGGCATCACAGTAGGGGAGTGAATCAGCAGCGCTAGAAATCACCGCAAAATTAAAAATAAAAACCACGTGCCAACAGGAATGACTGTTTCTAATGACGAAAGGGAGCTTCTTCGATAGAGCACAGTTTCTCAAAACGAGGGCGGAGTTTGAACACCGTACCTGTACCTCTCAGTTCGGGCTCGACATGGAGCTGCGGCCTGTACTTCGTTTCCTTCAACGACAACGACATCGCAAAGAAAACAAGTTCTCCCCTTTCCTTTTCTATTTTCCAACTCAAACGTTTTTTACGACCCCGCCCCCCTCCCCCATCTCCCGCGACCCACAGTTTGGGAAACACAGCATTAAGGGAAAGCTATCTTTTCTTCACGACGACAGCGGTCTTTGCAGCGGATCCCCGTATCTGTTTCACCTAAGGCGGTTATGTTACGTGACTTCAGAATGTCACGTGACGGTGATACCATAACGACACGTGCCTCATATGGAGCCACGCGGCCACTTCATGCAACAATGTAGCGTCACGCATGACGGTGTCCGTGGCTACTTTAAGTGACGTCACAGTGTCCCATAACGTCATGGTTAGCGCGACTGTGTTTATCCTGCTCGCAGCAGGGCCTGCAACGCCTCGAGTGTCGCCGCACTTCATTAGGCAAGGAACTGTGGAATTTGGTTTTAATCTTTTTCCCAACTACTGCTCAAAATAAATACGTTACGGGAACAAAACCTCAAGCGGGAATAGTAAAACAGAATGTATATGGTAAAAATTTCATAAAGAAATGTCTAAAAAAAAAAAAAAAAGTATAACGAAAAGCGTAACACGTAATTTTCCCGCTACATTTAGCGGTAAGCGTTTCACAGCTACATTTAGCGGAGAAATCGTACCGGCGTAAAATTACGCACCAATTCAGATTCTCTCGCTAAATTTGGCGTGAAAACGCTTCGCGCTGAAATAGCAGCGGGACGCACGACCGACGTTCGCTAAATCTAGCGGAACGTAGCGTGACTCCCGAGCTCAGAAGCGCTCCTAGATAGACCCTTTTCAAAAAAGTCCGTCAAGCAACACACAACTCGCCGAACGCAAAGGCAACCCTCGTGTTCAATGGGTTGATCAGACAACGTGATCACAAGCAATGGCGGACGGGCGATGGCGCAGATTTAAGGAAAGGGTCAATTATACTTCGGTTCACCTTACGTCCAGACGAAGTCGACGCCGCGAGCACGTGGGACCAATCAGACGGCTTCAAAAGCGCACCGTCATGGTGCTCGCTGAAGTAATCATAAACAGAAAAGGCCCAGCAGTGATGTGATTGGCCTAAGCCATTTTGGAGCACCTTTTGGAGCAGCCAAAACAGTGTATCGGAGCAGAAAAAGTGACTTTTGGAGCATATACTGTTAGAAAAATAAATAGTTGTTTTAAGTGCTGGACAAACGAAGGGCACTTTGTGTTGTGTTGGGATGCGTGTGACGTGTTGGGGCGGAATTCGCTGCTTGTGTATTTTGATGCTGAGACATCCCACAAGTATGCAGTGCTGTAGGCGTTGCCAAGCAACTAAAAAAAAAAAAAGAAAACTTGCTATCGTTTTACTGGTTCCCCACGTGGCAGATTTTTATAAAAAGTAAGCAAACGTAAAACAATGGATTGCAAGCGTCCCGGCTGGTGCCTCTCGTGCAATCATGTTCACATGCACGTGAGGGCAACTTCGGCAGGCTTGCAGTTACACGTGCTTCGTCGCGCGAGCGGAGACAACGGCTGTTCGATCGAAACCGAAACCATGCCACTCCGCTCCGTCGCCAACTGGTTCCCAAATAGTACGCAAAATGTAACTGTCCAGCATACGACAATAAACAGTACAGCGGCACGTGCTTGCCAGGCCGGCAGGCGAGGTACAGGCTAAACACACAGAAAAAAAAGAACCTGGGCGTGTCGATGCAAGACACTGCGAATCAGGGTCAAAAAGCTTTTGGAGCGCTTTGTGCAACGACTGAACTCGAGACAAACAAGCGCGGTGTGCGGGTTGAGCGTGCAGACCATTGCCTTCTTTGCTTTTGCTCACTTCTCATCATCAACTTTCTTTCGCGGCAGATTTTCCACGTACCGGGGTCCCTCTCGAAAGAAAGTCCACCGAGAGAAACCTAGGTAATCAAAACTTTGCCAAGCAGTCATTGAGTTAAAGAGGTTTTTTTATAGCAGCGTATGATTTAAACAAGAGCACGAATGTCGATGCGTTTCAGTTTACAAAGCGCCACATCTGCAGCGACGTGGGGACGGCAACACACGACGTCGCGCGACCACGGCGACTGCGGTCGCGCGAGCGCTTCAGCTCACGAAGTAACTCTCGCCGCGCAAAAACGTGGTATTGTTTCGCAGCATGACGGCATGTCTAGAACCCGGCACACTAACTAACGTCGGAGCGTTCGCAAACGCCCGCGTCTATCGCTAAAAAATTAAAAAAAAAAAAAAAGAAAAAAAGACGCGAGATGAGATTCCCGAGAAGACGAGAGCGCGAAACGCGAACGGCGGAAAAAGCCATGCAAGACCGAATAGACGATTGATGCAGGGTACTTTGTGTCGGGCGGCGTCTTGTGCCACCTAGCTCACGCATGCTCAATTACGGTTCTCAGCTTAGTTTCGTTTTTAAAGGCGACCAAAATTGGTCTTTTGGTGCAGGCTTTGCGCAGATTAGCCATATTTTGGCGAAATGTAGCAGGATGTAGCAGGATGTAGCAGAGTTAGCCCCTTGGCGCAGTTTGACGCAATTGGCGCAGCAATCACATCACTGGGCCCAGTGACTTGCGATTTTGACGCCGTTCGATTGGTCTGATTACCTCGTAGCGTTGGCAGCGTCCGGACGTAAGCTTATATGAAGTGTAGGCGCGTAGCGCGTGCTCAAGACGCGCTGCATATTCGTTCTCTCCCGACTTTAACCGCAGAAATAATACATGTTTTTGTTTGTTTATTTGTTTAGACGCAAGAGGGTGTTTCAGCTAGAGAATCAACCAACCAATCAAAGCGTCGAAACGGCGCACATGACAACGTATATACCGTCGTCGTACACCCAGCACCTGTTAACCCGGTCAACCTATAATTGGCTTAAAGGAACCCTAGCGTTGGCCTTTTCCACAAAGGGAGTATATCAATATCAAAGCACGGACCGACGGGCACAAGACCCACTACAGACCCGTAGCTCTCAAGTGTTGAGTAGCGCCCCTGGTGAGAATAAACGGACATTTTTAGGGTGCGTTTCGGCTATGCGTCGCATTGCGTCCTTTCAAACGCCGGGGCCAGACGCTGAGGGACGCTGACAGACGCTAATTTACAACAGCGGATCAAGCATAATGGGACGCTAGGACGGAAGTGGCCGAGTGGGCTAACGCGTCTCAGCTCGGAGCGTGGAGCGAAAGCTTGCGCTGGGAACCTCCTGTGTTCGATCCCCGCCGCCCCCGCCCGTTTCAATCTGGATGAGTTTCGTACCGGCACGCGTTCGTGTGATCACTACTGTGTGATGCACGTTAAAAATCCCAGGTTAGCGGTTGTACCGCACTGGCCAAATTTCTCATCTACAGCTAAGAGACCGATTACCCGTTGAGGCGCATCTCCATCAAGGCTGTATAAACATAAAGAGCAAGCCAATTTTTTTTTCGCTTCAGGTCAACGCTAAATGATCGCGTCTCATGAACGCGAGCGGAGGCACATCTTTTGTGGTCGTCTCACGGACGCTACAGCGCCCACTGGACGACATAAACGTGGCATAGCCTTCTATATATACTGACAAAGCCTGGCAGATCGCCACGAGAAGCGGCCACCGAAACGGAAAAGGGCAGACAACCGACGAGACGAGAGCCACGTGACTGGCGCCCCGCTGCGGCGAGACGCCGAAACACGCCTCTCCCGAGCGAACAAGTATGTTTCGGGTCCTGGCCGCTGCAAAAGCTGTGCGTTGACGTCCAGGTTCCCCGAGAAATGACTCTTTGTTGCTCTGTGCTACCAGATCCTCGCGCTCCAAATCTGCGACCGGGCACTCCATGACTCCGTCGTCGAACTGTCAGGCTTTGTGAGTATAGAGGAGGCTACGAACGTGCCTGCGCGGAGACAAACTGAGGAAGAGGAGGAGCGCACGGGAACGTGAGAGTGCCGAACTCTGGCTGGAAGGATTACCGGGTAGATGCAAAAGGTTGGCTGCCTCTACTTTCCCCTACTCGCTCTCATCTCCTCCTCCCCCGCAATTTCTCTCCGCGTAGGATACAAATAGACGCGATGTAGCAATTGCGTTTTCCCCCGGGGGTTAGGCACTCCATCAGTGCGCGTCGGCGGCGCAACACGAGACCCGCAACGAAAGACAAGAAGCACCGAGGCGGAGGACAGAACGCCGACCGAGAACTTCTTCGTCTTCGCTACTTCGTCGTGGGCTTGTTAATGCGCAGCCCCCGTCGTCGTTCATCTTATCCCGACCCGCCGTCTCGGATTTCGAGCGCAAGGAGCGCTGAGTCGCATGGCGTTTTTGCCTCCTCTCGCTCCACGCTCACAAATAACGACGGGTAGGGTTACCTACCTAACCCCCCACCCTACTCCACAACAACAGAGGCTGTCGTAACTCTGTCCAGCGTGCCCCCCCCCCCCCCCACCCCACACACACACAGTTTTTTCTAACCCTTTTCTACTGCAAAAATAAACTGCGTACGCTTGCCCACCGCTAATTCTCCGCCCAGCAGTAGCGCACAAACGTTCAAAACTAACAGTTGTCTTAATAGTTGCAAAAGCACCGCGGTTATAAGTGATTT